CTTCCCGCAGCCTGCCATTGCCCTGTCTCCGCAGGAGAGTCCAGCACCGTGGTGAGCCCCTACCTGCCCGGGGGCGTGAGCGACGGGCAGTGGCACACGCTGCAGCTCCGCTACTACAACAAGGTACGTGTGCCCTGGCTGTCCCCTGACACTTGCCCAATCCCTGGAGGGGTTCAAGGCCAGGCTGGATGAGGCTTTGGGCAACCTGGGCTAGTGGGAGGTGTCCCTGTCCGTGGCAGGGGGTGGCACTGGATGGTCTCTAATGTCCCTTCTGACCCAAACCCTTCTGTGATGCTGTGACTCTCCCCGCGAGGTGCGAGCGGGTGGCTCTGGCTCTCCTGTTCTCCAGCTCTGCCCCATGAGGGGGGCTCTGGAGAGAAGGTGGAGGTGGTTTTCTAGCCCTGGGGATGGGTGCAGTGGAGCAGACAGCTGGGTGCAGGGGGAGGTTGACCCTCAGGATGACACCTGGAGGCAGCAGGAACACTCTCTGCGCAGTGTCCCTGCCTGTGTCTGTCTGGCACTGCTTGCCGGGCTCGGATGGACGCGTCCCTCTGGCTTTGCTCATGCTCGAGCACCGCAGCAGTGCCTGGACCGTGCTCAGGCCCTTTCTCCGCTGTTGTGTGAGCCCTGGGGCACTTGGGTCTGGGGGCATGGGTGCTACTAACGCTCTGCGTTTGGTTCCAGCCCAAGGTCAGCACCCTGGGGGTGGTGCAGGGCCCCTCCAAGAACAAGGTGGCCGTGTTGACAGTGGATGAGTGTGACGCCTCGGTGGCCTTGCAGTTTGGTAGCGAAATCGGGAACTACTCCTGTGCCGCAGAGGGGGTGCAGACCAGCTCGAAGAAGTGAGTTCCTCAGGGACTGTGTGGGGAAGGGAGTGGGGCACCTGGCTCCTCTGCAGAGTCAGCCCTTCACATCTGGGACAGCTGTCATTCCAGGGGCCTTGGCTGGGTGTTCCTGTCCCCAGCGATGTCTGCTTCCCAGCTCCTCATGCTGGGGAGCCGGCTGGCCGGCCTGAGGTCGCTGTGGCTCTTAAAGCCCTGAGCTTCTGTCCTCGTAGGTCCCTGGACCTCACAGGTCCCTTGCTCCTGGGTGGGGTCCCCAACCTGCCGGAAAACTTCCCCGTCACTCACCGGGACTTTGTGGGATGCATGAGAGATCTGTACATCGACAGCAAACGCATCGACCTGGCTTCCTACATCGCCAACAACGGAACTGCTGCAGGTACCCGGTGCCCCTGCTCCTGCCAGCCCCTGCCCTGGGAGGTGCCTCTCCTGCTCACCCAGCGGCACTGCCAGGCTGTACCGGCGGCGTGGCGGCACAGCTGGAGCTGAGCAGCTTCCCAGCACAGAACTGGGCTCCAGATCCCCCTGAATGAGCCAGTCTCCACCCCAGCTAATGTTCTGGGTGCATCCCCTGATGCTGAGTGCAGAGCCTCAGAACTGGCCTGTCTGGGAGATGCTAGATAGCTAGTCCAGCGGCGCAGTGTCTTTCTGCTGGCATAAGGAGCTGTGACAGCCTTGACCCTCATCCCTGAGCCAGCAAGGCCTGTGCTGAGGGGCTGAGCAGCTGGGCTTACCCCTCTGGCAGCCCAGGAGAGGGCTGAGGGGCACTGATGTCTCCCCGTGTGGGTTGGAGGGAGGTGGTGAGCCGGTGAAAGCTGATGTGGGTGACTTTGATACCTGCAGGCTGCCATGCCAAGCACACGTTCTGTGACTCCAGCCCCTGCAAGAATGGCGGCACCTGCTCTGTCAGCTGGGGGGGCCACCCCCGCCTC